TGATTGTGTCATGAAATTAATACTTTCAATTAATTGGCCACTAATTGAATGAATACATACTAGTCAATTTTGACATTCGAGAAAAGAAAATTTAGGCGGGATCATAAGATTGACACAACGTAGATTTTATGAATTTCGAGAGAAAGTATATAATCTATAAAGCTTACTCCATAAAAGAATCATGAACCTGATAAAATCTTTGATTTTAATTCGGAATAGAGATATTGGAATTAAATTCTAAAATTAATTTATAGCCGGTACTTGAGAGAGGGAAGAGAAATACATTAGAATTCTTGCTTTTAAACATGAAAAAATTGACAGAATAGTTAGACATAATTGAATCATAATTGAAAGTTGGGTGAAATCATTCCACATGTCTTTCTTATATTGAGTCATTCATTACATTGCATTCTTTGAATTCGTTAAAAAAATTATTGTTAGATTAGTTAACGATATTGATTTCAAAATTTGCTTCTCTAAATAAATTAAAAGCAAAAATAATTATAGTACTTATTATAAAATCAAATATCAATCCATATGGGTTCGACACTCTAATTCCATTATTATATTACAAAATTTGACACCGTACACTTACGGTATAAACCACGTTATAGAAAACGCATGACATTTTTCATTTATCATATTAAATAATTAAATAAAAATAAAAAACATACACCGTTGTCTGTCGGCAGTGCAGGAATTGGTTTAAGTTTCCAATGAACCCATCATCAACAAGAGAGGGAAATTAACCACAAAAGAATTATGGGCAGAATTTGATACAATTTCTGAATTATAGGGCTTCAATTCCCCTAATGGCAAGGATCTACAACCCATCAATAAGCCCAAGAAATTCAACATGTATATATATAAATCTTTGTTCATTTATGTAGATACAACACCCAAAAATACATGCGAGATGGAAGTATAAATTAAAGATTTTCTATGTAGAGACAAATGATATGGCTAAACAGAAGAACTGCCAAGGCCAGGGAAGAATATGTATAGGCCTATAAAGCAAAGGCCATGGGAGGAAATGGGCGACAGAAATTCGTGACCCGAAAAAGGGTGTTCGTGTCTGGCTCGAAACCTTCAGCATGGCGGAGAAAGCAGTCGGACCTATGATGATGTCGCCGCGCATCCATGGAGACAAGGCAAAACTCAACTTTTCCAACATTCCACCACCGTCGACTCCGCTAACCCTCCGATTCAGCCATCGGCAAAGCAATTATGTGTCAATCTTGAGCCAAACTCGTTAATGGATTACGAGATTCAAACTACCTCCTAACAACAAGTTTACTACCCAACCCAGGCGATGGCTAGTCAATCTTTTGAGTTGAAGAATGAAATTTCAAGCTTGGAATCGTTATAAGGATTGGAACCAGCTGAGCCACCTCAGTTTGTCAACACTGAGTCAGATGACTCAGTTGATCTTCTTTTCCACGGAACCAAACACCGCAGTTTGTCAACACTGAGTCAGATGACTCGGTTGATCTTCTTTCCTACGGAACCAAAGAATCCTCAAATCATCCCTCAAATCATGGGGCATTTGGGTTTGAGTTTGCGGTGGCGGTGGCGGTGGTCGATATAGAATTTAGGTTTGAGGAGGGGGTGGGTGAGCGTTGAGAGGAAGAAGATACCGGTTTGTGCACTTTTTTTATTTCTTATTTTTTAATTTAATCATTTAATGTGATAAATGGAAAATTACTCTTTTGTCCATTCTTAAAATATTACAAATGTGGTCAAAATTAAATTTTTGGTTAACTGACAGAATTATGGATGAAAACTGTCCAAAAGGGTTTCACCCGCAACATTTGGAAAGGTTAGAGGTGACAACAAATCAAAAATTTAGAGAAAGTCTGCTAATGTTTCAAAGGTTTGAAACTTTTACTGCAATTATCCCATTAAAAAAAGACTATTATTCATCTTTCCCAACCTCCCCATCCCTAGCCCCCTCCTCTAAACAAAAAAATGAGTTGTTGGAGATGTCCATAGCCACTAGTGAAATTTCTCTGCTAGATGGAAATCAAACTAAGTCAAGTTACTTATCCGATGTGGTTTCTGTTGAAGGGGCGAATCAGGCTATTGAAGCAGAGGATAGATATGACATGATAAATACCAATGACATTGTACAGGGTTATGCTTGTAAACCAAAATTTATGGATGAGCAGCAGGAAAGAGAAGACTTACAAATATCAATAGCATTGCAACCACCATTGATGTCTTGCACCGTTTCAGAAGTATCTATTGCTTTTACAGGCTCCAAAAAAGTTGATCTCGGCTGTCCACCACAAATCTCCAATCTTTTACTATTACAATTCAATATTGACAAATTTATCGGCCTCAACTTCACACTCAATGCCTCCAAAAAGTCCAAATTTGATGATTTTCACAAACTCGACAATCGAATTCCAGAACCTGGCTCTGCAAATTATAACTATGAAAAAAAATCAAAAAAGTTGAAGAAATCAATATAGGAAGCGTGAAAGGGACGAAACAAAGATTTTGGTTGAATTCAGGGGCAAAGCCAGCCCTTCAAACTAGGGGGGTCCCGAAGTTGAAGGGGCGGGGGCTCATGGGGGGCTGCCCCCGAAATTTTTTTTTGAAACATTATATGTTAAAATGAGGAAAGTTGGTATTTTGTGATGGAGAAATGAAACAAATGAATATAAATTAATGTACGAAAACTTCACAAAAAAATCAAGAAACATATAAAAGAAACTACTAATCTTTTGAAATACTTCTCCATCACTGAACTTGAGGATTGAGCAAACTCTTTCACTCATAATTGATAAATAATACAACTTCACAAACAACTTAATGGGATGGATTATGAGAT